GGCCACACCGTCGTTCTGCTGCATAATCTCCTCCAACAAAACGCGATAGCTGCTGGCTACGAGCTGCTCTCTCGTCGCCCAGCTGCCAAAATAGTTACGAAATGGATATTGCACTTGCAAATGGATACTGCAAAGTTGCAGAAACAACGGAAATCAGTATTTATAACGTACTGGATCAGCAACTAGCGCTACCCTGGCGCTACTTGCTTCCCACTGTTTTTTTTATTATCTGTAGAGTGTAATACTACGTTCTTCTTATTCGCACAAATTTATCTTTATGGGATGCCTAGCATTTCGTGCGCTATTTATTTCCGCAATGCAGCGCTGCAGTGCTTTCCGGACCGCAAATCATGCAACATGTGTTTCGCGTTGTGTTGTCTTTATTTCGCTCTATCGACTCATGTTGTGTCTTCAGACAACTGCAGATCAGCCATCTTTATCGTCCAGAGTCAAGCAAGCTATACATATACAACGAAAGTTTGTACAGACAAATCGAATGTATCTAACACGGAACATTGACTAATTTTGTTGTTCGCACTGGATACGGCAAAGCTTCTTAATTCTACTGATTCGGTTCAATCAAACGAAGCAGGTAATACAAAGTAGGTACCGTATATCCATTCTTATTCAGCATCGGTTCATGGGGAAGATCTGCTACTGTGCCGAGACGCTCCGTGCACAACAGCAGCCGGGTTGCTGCAAACGGGCTTACTTGCGCGCCGGTCCCAAGTGGGACTTCTTGCAGCGTCCATCGGTGCTGGAGCCGTGCGACAGCTGGCACTGCTGTCCGCTGGGACAGGGCTTCTTGTTGCTGCATTTGTCACCCACCTTCACATCACCGGCCTGACCCGGCATCACCATCTAATAATCAGACAAATTTTGTTAAATTTTAATTCCTAATTAAACCTTATTCGATCGTCGAAATCCTTTCTAAAGCGACTATATTGTAGCGAAAATAAGTAAGGTCACCTACCGCAGCAATAACCACCAGGACGACCAGCAGCATGGAGAAGGACAAGAATTTCATCGTGAATGAGTTGTCGCAGCGACCCTTAACAGGTTACAGAAAAAGCACTGTTGCCGGAAGAATTCTTTGTAAAGAAGGAAGTTTGTTTTTAGTACGCTCAATAGAAACCAAAAAGGCCGCTTTTATACATCGCATATGGCGAAAATACTGCCGAAGGCACGATGTTTGGTTACAAAAATATTTTGGAAAAACATAAGAACGTAAGTAACAAACAGTTTGTGGAAATTGTCATTCGATGGAGAAACAAACAAAAATGAGTGACAGATGTTTCGGGTCTTTCTTGAATTTAATGAGAAGCGTAACACTTTTACTTCCTCGTGTGGACGCACGCTGAAACTGCAGAGTGTTCTTGATTTTTGTCAAGTAATGGACGGAGTGTATGACTCATGGTGCCCGTTAAGAACATTCCGCTGTGACCACGCTGCAACTGGGACGGAAATTGCCGCAAGGGCACGTTAACGCACACACACAACAAACAGCTGGTGTTTTTCTGAATGTGCTTGATCGGCTTGCACTGGGAAGTATCCATTCATTAACACGAAATAACGTCGACCGGCTTCGTTTATTCACAAAAACAAAATTTTTGTCAATGACCAGAGCGAATGTATGTTTCTCTTCCTACGTAGAGCGGCGCCGTTCGATGGATATTTCATTATCTCTCAACAACAGAATCAGTTTTCAGTCATTTTTTTAAAAAGCCTCATCGAACATCATCCACGTTTTTAAATTTCCGGAGAAAACAAAAAATTTACAGGCAGTTGCTTCACGGATCCTCATTACGGTAGTTTTTATCAGAACTATCTGAAAATAAATCTAGTTATCTGGTTTTAAAGACATTATTTTAGAAAAAATACAATCTGGACAGTACAGCACATGTTTTCGTAATTTTCAGTTTATTTGCGACCAGCGCTTCGTGTAACCACGACACAAATGACAACCGGTTAATTAAATGTATCCAGCTTCAATCTGCATACGTACTCTGTATATTCAGTAGATATGATGTGAGTAGAAGCAGTAAAATGATCAATCGTTGAGAAGTATTAACCGTTCCCTTAAAGTTGAATTCCGTTTGCTTGCCAGTTATCAAAACACCGTGTGCCACCACTTCCACAGTTCTCCCGTTTCTGATATCTGGAATGATCGTGCGCCGACTGCAGCATCGTCCTTATATTGCTCGTACAAACTAAATATTTCGTTCGCTTGTATAAGCTGGCATCAGTCGTGTGCAAAAAGATTTGAAATGTTACAGCGAGCGACTGCTCCAGAAGTCCGTTTCCCGAGGCCTGAGCTGCTCGCTCTCGCATTTGCTACTCGTACAGAAGAAACGCTTTTACTCGGAAATTCCGTTTTCACTCCCACTTGTCCCATTACATAATCGAATTTTTGCGCAATCACAAATCGGAGAAATGCCATCCTTATGGAGCAATCAACAGCGAAGAGCGTGAATTTAGCAAAACTCCCATGAAAAACCGTACAAAGCTGTTCACAAGGCCGTTGTAAGTAGGAAAGTCCAAAAAAGGATAATGTGCTTAACGGTAGTCTGTCAAGTAGCGTTTAAGGGCTATGAAATTTTAGAGGCACAGTTACATAACCGGAAATGTCTAAATAAAGAGGCAACGGTCAACTTGATTGTTGTGTTCGCTGACCGTGATTATACCCTAATGCCACTGTTTATAGGACGCTCTGTTTCATATCGTTCAATTTTATCTTCAGGCCGGCTTTCGATACTCGCTCGTATGCGTCTCCTTCAGAAATCTTTGTAAGCGTTTTTCCAGCGTTGTATCAAGCTTGCAAATATACTGTTACGCGGCGTATTAACAGTATACACTTGCCACTAACAGCAACTATAAAAAAACAAACGTGCACCTCATCAGCAGTTTTCGCCTACAAAACCGGTTTCCTCGGTTTCGGTTATTTTTCCAATTTTTCCTGGGGCCTTTTCAGGAACTAGCAAAAGCAGCCGTTGAGTCATTGTAGGGTATCACATAATGCCATGGAATTTTATCCCAGTCCACGGAGTCCACGGTAGGTGCAGAGACGAACGCTACACACCAACGCCTAGCCGCGATCAGTATTACAATCAACGACACATGTACACTGTACCAATAACAACGTAATAAAAAATAATGTTGAATTCGTTATTCGACAAGCGCATTGTTTATCTTTGCTAAAACCACTATGCAACCTTCAGCCGGCAACATGAATGTTCTTTATTAGCATTTTCCCTTCGTCGTCGCGGCAAGCATTCACTCGTGACCTTTGCAAATCTGCCTCACTAGTTAAGTGGCTGTCTGTGCGTTCATCAACGGCGAATTTGTGTTTTTAGAATGTGAGTAGTGCGGAAAGCACGAGGACATTGAAAATGTGAGCGCAAAAACTGGTTAGTCTATTACTGAACAGACGCAGGAAGGACAATCTTGTTGCGTATGGACGAAAGTCACATAAGTACGGTCCAATTACGATTTTTTTTTCTTCCTGGACAGCTTTTTCTCGGCTCGCTTTTAAGCTTTTAGGCACAAAAAAAGTGGAAGGACCGAAAGCTTCTACCCATTTTATCTGTAAACTGATCGTTTCTAGAAGAAATTTTACGTTTATCCTGCCGAAAACAGCATACACCAGCAACTGATGCCCACCGTTGTGTTATCACCATGTGAAATCAGATTTCGACAGCTTTTACCTTTATCACCTTCAACCGACAGGCGAAATGCCGCGGTGAGATCAATTGCCCGAAACCGAACTAACGTTCTAAAAATAAAACTAAGAATTTTAAGTTGTAAGAATTTTAGGTTCCAAGTATTTCAGGTTTGAGTCCTTAGAATTTAAGGTTCTATAAAGAGATAATAGGCAATCCGGACTGATAAACCAGCAGGATCTCTATATTATTTAGGAGAACGAGTATCACAGTTCAGTTTAAACCGGCTAACTGCAAGCGCAAACAGGGAAAAAATTTACAAGCACCAGCTGAATCTTAACGACAGGCTCGAAAGCTATCGAAATTAACGAATTGCCAGAGGCCCTGCACGAAGCCGCTTTACTACGACAGCTCCACGTCAACACTATTTTTAGCGGTATTGTGATTGGTAAAATATCTTAATTTGTTTAACCAGAAGGTAGGCTCAATAATTAATCTGCAGCACAGCACAGTGGTGCAAATCAAGTACGAAATTTTTTTAAAAGTCCTCTTCCCCAAACAGAGGGACAAATTATTGTTTAACTGAAACATACTGTCTGTCTGCTGTCGACAAATAAGAAATCGCTCGTATTAACGAAGCCAAAAACATCAAAGATTTAATAAAGAAGCAAATACACGTCGACAATAATTAATAAGTTCACGTGAAATATTCATATTTGGACAACAAGGGCAATACTGGAACGAATTCGAACTACAACCTAAACGAGGAAATTCGCAGTTTAGTTACGGTAAATCAGCACCAAAAAAATGTGAACAAATTCTTCTCTCTGGGAAAATGGCGACATACATATCAGCAGGAAGCCTACTCTGCGTTACGCTTTGTACTACTCGGTACATCTGCACTCATTAACGTAGTAGGGCTTTGCTGCGCTCATCTGTAACGCCCCTTTTTGATGGTTCTGCTACTCGTACTAGCTTGCAACCCAATTAAATTAATTAATTTTGAATTAGTCTTGCAATGCAATTTAATTTATTTCGTTTGTAAATGTGTCTTGCAACGTAATTTAATTTAATTAATTTAGGATTTAGTCTTGTAATTTAAATTTAATTTGTAATTTGTCTGGCAACGAAATTTAATTTATTCAGTTATAATTTTCCCTTGCAACGTAATTTATTTTATTTAGGTTACAAATTTGTCTGCAAACGTAATTAAATTTATTTAGTTTATGCATAATTTTGTCTTGCAAGGTAATTTAATTTCTAATTCAACCTTGCAACGTAATTTATTTAGTTTATAATTTTATCATGCAACCTACTAAGTTAAATTATTTCAAATTTTTGTCTTGACTTTCCTGCCGGTGACCTGGAAAAATTCTCGAAATACAAACAGCAGAAATGCCGCATCCGACAGCGTAAAGAATGCCGCCTTTAAGCACAGTAAACATCCATCTGCATTCACCCAAAATCGACACAACTGTGTCGCAACACGACCAAATCTGAAGTCTCCCGTTAAAAAAAAACCAACCAGCCGCGAAAACTATCAAAATCAATGGGGATAAAAACATCAACCAGCCACAACAAGACCAATCTCTCGGCAGTGAGCAGGCGTAGAAAAACAGGGACCATTCGCCTTTCAAACAGGTAAAAACAAGCATTCGTCAAGCACTCCACCGCTCCACATGCAGGCGTCAAAAAGAGGGAAAGAGAGCCAACAAAAAGCGTCAAAGAGGAACTAGGATTTGGCGGCGGCGTTCTTGGCTTTCGATTTCGCCGCCTTGGCGTGGACGGTGGTGTCCAGGTCCTCCCAGCAGTGCCGGATCACCGCCACACTGTCCCGCAACTTCACACTGATTTCTTCTAAGGACGCGCGGTAACTGTTGGCCATGCGCTCCTGCGTCTGCACCGCCACGTCGTCCAACTGCCAAAAAAAGCATTCTTACACAAAGTCAACCGAAAAACGGGAAAGCAGTCAGCTAACAACACATCTCCGAGTTTCGAAAAAATCCCTCAAACTTCGGATTAATCAGTAATTATTGCGTAATTAAATCAACCGACATTGAGCACTGTAGTTAGTGAAGTAAACACTAACTTACTTATTAAACAAAAATCGCAATAAAATTCTGCATGGATTATAAAAACAAATGTATCTCTAAATTCTTGACAAATTTCTACAAACTTCGGATTAATCAACAATTAAAATAACCGACGACTGCAATAAATAAATCGAGCGAAATTGAGTACTGTTGATAGTGCGGTACGACTACAAAGTAAACTATTATTAAAAAAAATTGACATAAAAATTTGGAAAAAAGTGCGGAGTTTGATTTATGTTGATAATTAACAAAATGAATTTCCAGATCCTCGAAAACATTCTTCAAACTTCAGACTGATGAACGACAGAACAATATTATTACTATAGCGGCACAACTGAGCTTCTCAGTACAAATTAAATTATATCATATGATATATATGTATATATATATATCATATTATATATATATTTATTTATATTAATTAACTACAATTAATTTTAAAAAATACGTTGAACTCGAAAAAAAATATTAATTTTATCCATAAATATATAATCAGTAATAAATATAATCAGTAATAAATATAAAAATATAATCAGTAAACAATTTTTGCAACAAAAACAAAAGCGCCGGTTCCTAACCGAATATTAAGATCACGACCGGCAATTAATTACTTCCAAAAACGTAAAAAGCTCAGTGAGTTACATTAATCAAAATGGCAATAAATGTTCTATGAGTTTATGTACATTTATTTCAGCAACTCGCCATCCCACTTAACCCGCTGTACTACGATGTTCACGTTGCCTTTTACATTCGTCAATGTAAAAGGAAAAAGCTGTGAGAAATTTTTGACAAATTATTTATCACATAGAACAAATTATAAATGACATTTACGACGTATTATTTCCGGATTTCACAAAACACGCCAAATCATAATATAAAATTAACAGATATTAAAATGAAAGCCAAGCAAAGATCCGAACTACCCGGGCAAAATGCACAGCAAGTAATAAAATATCGCAGTTTCCTATTCCCAGTTCATTCGTTACTCTGAAATCCGTTCGTAATTCGCTTTACCGAAGTTTTGTGAACATAAGAAAATGAGTGTACAATAAATATCATTCAAATTTGTATGGTCGAAGATTGTCCCGTAATTCAACAAATTAATATTAATTATTATTAATGTTCGGAATTTAAGGCGCGTAAAAGCAGCTGATTTTTCTTACCGTGGCGTCCGGTGGTTCGAAGCGGCCGAGCGGCGGGCGTGTGCGCATATTGCGGGCGAATTGCGTCCCGAGGACGTCGATGGGACCGCTGATCATTTCCTCTAACCGCTTGCACAGCTTCTCCAGCGGATCGCCCAGCATCTCCAGAAACGCGCAAAACTCCCCGCACCAATCGTCCAACAATTTCTTCATATCACCGCTTTTGCTCGACGCTTTGCCGCGCGCTTCGTTGTGACTGCACAGCGCCACGAGGGAGCCTTTTAGGCACTGCACCACCCACACAATACACCGCGCCACCTGCAAATAAATCAACAAAATTCCAAATAAAACTATAGATCGACATTCGACCTGGAAAAAGTAAAAAAAAAAGTCAAGAAACAAATTAAACAAAACCGAAAACAGCTTTAAAAAAATGTAAACGGGACATGAAACATTAAGAACAACATTTAAAAACTGGGGAAAAATTTTAAAAATGTAGAACGACTTGAAAACCAAATTGTAAACACCGGGAAAACCTTTTTGAAAAATGTACATAATTAAGTAAAATCATACCATAATTTCTGAGTTTTGATGAAATTAAAAAGATAAAATATTACAGAAATACTACAGCAATTTAAGTAGCGTAATCACCGTGAAGCTTTATACGAGAACAACGTGAGATTATCACTACAAAAGCAAGCGAAATAACCAGCAAAAGTAAACCGAAAAAAAAAGGAAATTTGTCTACACCTTTTTATTATAATAGTGAATTATTTGTAGATGCGGTATGGTGTTTGCATTACGTGTGTGAAGAGAGATAACTTGATCAGCAGATTCTTGAACCGTCCCAAATCCTCGGGCTTCGCGCCGTCAAACGTCTCTAAAATCTCCGCGCTCATTTCTGCAAATAAGCATTCACAACGGAAATTATCCTGGAATTGTTTTAAACTGTTAAAATAATTTATCACACATTCAACGAATGAAAAACAACGGAAAAATCGTACGCTGCAGTTTGAAGGAAATCTCCGTGGTGCCGAGCGCCTCGCCGAACAGCTTCATCTCCACCTTCACCGCGCCATCCCCATCACCCACTGCCTTGTCGGTGTCGTTAACGTTAACACCATCCGCTGTGCCGTACGCCGCTACAACACAGAAATATCGTAGAACAAGGGTTTAATAGCGTCCTCAAGATCGCTCTCTGACTAGATATCCGTTTCTTCGGTACGCCGCAAAGGATATAGTCTAAGTGCACAATATTTTCTTTTTTTTGTATTTTTTATATTTCTTTCATAGCACAATTTGAACGAACAAAATATTGTTGAATTTGTTTGTTTACGCCGACAGCCGACATTTTCAGTAAAATCCCTTGAGTTTTACCGGATAATCTTAAATACTTCATTCATAATGATTTTGATTACTGCAGATAAATACTAATAATTTCAACTTTTTTTATATACTTCTACGACACTAAGCAGACTGAGATACGTATTTACCAGATGTGATTATTTTTCATTTATTTTACCGAATTATTTTCAATATTGCCTTCATGCCGATTTTAATTACTGCAAATTTCGTAAAGTATTTACGTAGTCGAAATTTTGTGGGATACCGAAAACGAGTCTTGAAGGCGTGCGAAAATCTGCGCTGCATTAACTTAGACAGACGTCAAACAGTGAAACGGGTGCGGATCTTCAACAATATTTCGGATCATCCAGTCATTTTTTAATTTAAAAAAGAAACAGCTAACTAAGGATGCTGCAGACTTACGCGTTCCATCAAACTGGACGAGATGAGTGGCCACCACCCGGTCGACGGCCAACACCAGGTGGCACAGCCGCAACAGGACGGCGTGACAGCCCAGCGATAAATACTCGCGCAACGGCAGACCGAAGGAGGTCGTGATGTGATCCATTAGATCCTATAAAAAAACAGCGCAAATGAAGTAATGATTTTGTGCGCACGGCTGTGTCTGTAATTTTGCGAGGAAAAATTGGCGAATTATTTTCAACAGGTAGGAAACACTGTTACCAGGAAGAGTTACTAGCAAATCAGCAAAAAATATTCAACAGAAGAATTTATTATAAAAAATAAACAGACTGAAAAATCAGAAGAATATTAATAAATATCGGGCCACTAGCTCACCATTCAATTTTTTTTAAACAGAACCCGAAAAAAGTCAAACAAATGTTCAAACAAACATACATACAGAAGATATTTCGATTTTCGAAAACGACAGAATTAAGCTCCGACGAACCCCGCGCCGCTGTACTACGGTATCACAACATTACGCATCTATAACACGGAGAAGCGTGGAGTTGAAATTCAAACTTTTTCGGGGCGAATTTGAAATTAAATTTGAGCTGAAAGGAAATTAAATTCAACACCCAAAAAGGATAATTTCTAATTTTTTTTCGGGAAATTTCATTGTTTTTTGCAAGTAAATTAACTCCAATGTAGAAATAAGTGCTGATTTCTTCAATTCTAAAGTTATCACATCGGATCAGTGTTTTTCTTGATTCCAAATAATTAAAATAATTTTCTTAAAGTAAAATTATATTTTAATTATTAAAATTATATTAATTAATAAAATAATTTTCTTAACAAGTAAAATTATATTTTAATTATTTGGAATCAAGAAAAACACTGATTATAATTTTCCTCATTTCAAACGGTTTCAAATGCACAAAGCCCCGTTAGAATTTTTTTTAAATGGTTTGATTGGAAGAATGAAATGTGAGATGTCGGAAAGTGCGGTTTCAGTCCTACCTAAACATAACACAAACACACCATGAAACTGACAAAAATATTCTTAAAAAATTTGATAAGAAACTGATTCACAACGAAGTACACTGTGTTTATACGTCTCGGTTAATACGTATTAATTCGGATACCAGAGACACTGCACTACAATATATTCTGCAGAATGACCGACAACCCTGCCGCTGGCTAGACTGCAAATTTTAACATGGCAAATAACAGCCGAAATCCTTAGGATTAAAATATCGTATTCCAAACTGTAAGTTGTTAGATTTTTTTAAATGGTGTGATTTGTAGAATGAAGCGCTCGAAAGTTTGATTTCAATCCTAGCTAAAAATACGTATCACCCACCATAAAACTGACAGAAAAATATATTTTTAAAAAATCTGATAAGATACTAGTGTACAATTGAATACACTGTGTTAATAAGTCTCGCTTGGATATATTGCGAGGCAACTATTAGAGACACTGCACTACACTATTCCACAGAATGACCGACACCGCTGGCTAGTGGTTAGACACTACTTTAAACTGCAAATTTAAACAGTGGAAAAAACAGCCGAAATCCTTAGGATTAAAATGCCGTATTCCGAATTGTCAGTGGTGCACTGAGTGTTGAATTTCCCGTAGAATGCACATAGTATTATTTCTGCTAAATCGTGAACAGTAAAAAACACCGACATCCCCCGCACAAAAAAACTGCCGATTATCCGAAGAAATTGCCCGATCGTGGAATTCTTCTTAATTGCAAAATTAAAATCCTAATAAACTTTAGTATGCGTTGTACCGACCTTTTCGGAGTTGGGCAGGGTCATGGCTGTTTTGCAGACGTCGAAATACTCGGACAGCGCCTTATTGAGTTCCGCGGGCGCCTCCACGATGCTGTCCAGCTGGTTGGCCGGCACGTGATCCAGAAATTGATCTTTCAGCGGACGACTGCTGTCCAGGGGATTGTAACGCCCGTAGGTGGCTGCCAACGCCACACAGGATAAATACGCCACCATCTCCGCACGAACCACTTCGATCCATGCTTTCTACACAACAACAACCGTCTCTAGGGCCAATTTCTGGATGCACTGAATTAATCAGAATTAAAATTGATTAAAATTAATTTTTTAGGCTTATTATAGAGCGATAATACGAGTATATGGAGTGAGGCTGATTGAGTTAACAGTAACCACTGTAATAATACGAAATTAATCAAATAATGGAACGGAAATGCCCCGCAAGTCGCCGATTGAATTGAAACCGTTGATTTCATGAAAGTTTTAAATAATGTATGGCATAAGCAGTTATAATTATTGTAATAATATGTGAAATAATTAAAAATGGAACGGAAATGCTTAATAATACGTCAAAATCATATTACCCTAAGAAAATCAATGACATACATTTTTCTCAGTATTTTCCGCTCAGTTTTCACATTACATACAATTCACATATTGGTTACGATAATTATTGCTGCGTATTTCATAAATTAGTACGGAACCATTGTCATAATTCACTGATTTTCAGGCGAAGAATATTTCATTTTCAGTACTGGTCAGAAGAAAGCGTGTGTACCTCTTCGCGTTCGCGGCTTTCCGTGCGGCTTTGTCGCGTCCCCTCGAAGGCGACATCCCAGCCCATCAACTGCTCGCGATCCGACTCGTCGCGCCACATCCGCAGCATGTTAGGCACACTGCCCAGATACCGGTCCAGATCAAGCAGCCAGCTTCGCGCTTCCACATCCCTGCCGAATCACACAGGTGAAAACAACCAGGAAAAATCAATTAAAACCCGCGGTGCACACATTAATAAATTACAACTGTTAATTTTACAACCATATCAGCAAAACCATAACACTCGTAAATATTATATAAATATTATTTATTCTTTTTCCATTTTTATTATTTATTCATTTTCATTTATTTATTCATTTTTATATTATTTATTCATTTTCCAAACCATAGCACTCGTAAATATTATCTAAATATTATTTATTCTTTTTCCATTTTTATTATCTATTCATTTTTATAATTATTTATTTATTATCTAATTATTATTTATTCTTTTTCCATTTTTATTATTTATTCATTTTTTTTATTATTTATTCATTTTCGAAACCATAGCACTCGTAAATATTATCTAAATATTATTTATACATTTTCCAAAGAAAAATTCGGGAAAACTGCTAACAGTTGAAATATGCCCAATGGAAATCAAAACAAACATTATTAAACAATTTCCGAATAAATGGGTATGCTGACTAAAGAGAAAAATACGTAGGTATATCAAAAAAGCATTTGTCAATTTAAAAAATCATAAAAATTTAAAAAGCACAATGATACCAAGAAAATATGTCACATATGTTGTTACAAATTTTATTATTTGCCTTAGGTTTTAAATTCAATGCCACTGGGCTGTAGCCTTTCGTGATGTTCAGAATTGTATAATTAACACGAGACGAGGGAAGCAATTAAAAGACGCCAACCGGCAAAAAACCTTATAATTATTTTCAAAAAATTCCGTTATTAACGCTGAGTATATGTGAACGTTTCCTTGTAATACAGCGTCAACGTACGAGACGAAGCGGTAGAAGGGGAGGTGCCAGAGCCGGCAGAACTGGCCCATGAGGGCCATGCTGGAGTATTTCAGCCCGTGCTTGAGCTCCTCCATGCCGATGAGCCGGAAGTACTCCTGGTTGGCGATCAAGGCCATCTGCGACTCGAAGGCCTCGAAGACGCTGTGCGTGTAGTGCCGCACCACCATGTCCGGCACGTACACGTCCTGCGGCGGCAGCACGCACACCAGACTCGACGGCACCATCAGATACCTGCCAAAAACACACCAACAAATGCCAAAAACGGCAAAATAATCACAAAAAACCGCATAAATTAATCCATAAAATTTAAAAATCGAAGAATAAATTTTCCAATGAATCCTTTCTGGGAAAAACATGATTCGCCTGAAGATTTTTAAGTTAATATGTTGCAACACAGTTGAATTCAATGCAGCTCATAAATTTATTAAACATTTTCTTTGGCTGAATTTTCACGCAATTTCTTATCCATAATACAATCATTATCCTGAAGAAATGTAAAATCAACATGACAGTTTCAGCGTATTTGCCAAGTATGAAAAATAATTACTTTAAAATTGTAAATTAAAACAATGAATTATTTCTAGATGACGGTCAAGTGCAGGGTGTCTTACCCGAGATGATTCAACTGGAGAGATTTGATGTCCAGACCGTTAAAATGATTGTACGCCAGCTGTATGGCACCTAAACAACAACCACGTAACCGCTTGTAAATGTCCGCATCTTCCATTTTCGTAGATATTCTGAATTATTCATTTCGTTTTCGTTGATATAAGCCGGGAAATACTTCATACAGAAATTTACAAAATGACAAAAAAACAACGCTATAGTTTCTTAATCAATTGTGTTACTTTGATAACTACTTTAAACTGTGTGGTCACCGCGTTTTGTGAAATAAAAATTTTTTAGTTTCAAAATGAAATACACATTACACAAGTCAAACGATTCGAAAACGGAGTATCAACAATAGTCAACGGCGTGGTCATTTGAGCCGCTACACTACGCTGGCATCCAACGATACCGTATTACCAGAGCAGGAGCAAGCGGCATCTAGCGCAGTGCAACAATTTGAAATATTAATCATAAAAATTCGAAATAATAAATAAACAATAATAATAAGGTTAGAAGTAATAAATACTATTATCCTGACAGCAACATTTCCAATATCGTTCTCTAATTAAATATTTAACAATTATCCTGTGCAAGATTGTTATTCTGTAGCCACGAAAACAGAATGAAGAAAAATATTCTAGTAAGTATGAAAATTTAAAAAAAAAACAGTAGGCTGATTTGAGAAACTTATACTGCATTCATTTACCGCAGCGGAGGTATAAATGTATGAGCAAGAGGCGAAAGGCCGGATGATTGTGGGGCTTTGGTTTTCTGACTAGGGCTTCCAGGGGCACAATAGCGTCCGTCAAAAACGTCCAATCCTCTAACGAACACCAGACTCAATTTGAAATACCCACAAGAAAAACATACCAATAAAAAAACTCCGATACAGAAAAACTCTACGGCGTTTTTAAAAAAAATAAAAATACACACCTGTTATTCTGTACAATTCAAATAAGCGGTAGATGATCAGGATAGCGTAATTATCACCGAGTTGCACCATATCCGGAGGGGCGTCCGCAACAGCAAAGGCTGGAAAAAAAATCACAAAAAATTATTACCGAATAATAAACGCGAAAATAAATGCCGGACGCGTGTAATCTTACGCGCTTGTTCGTTGGCGTATAAACGGTACTCGAAGAGTTTGGTGATGAGGAGCATCTCGTTCTCCGCCGACGGCGCCGCTGTCTGGATGGAATGCCGGAAGGACCAGTCGAGGATCAACAAATTCTGATGCGCAATCACCATCTCCACCTGCGCAATACATCCAGAGAGAAATATAAAAAAATTATAAAATAAGCACGGAATAATAAAACAATTATAAGAAAAAAACAATTAGGGAAAGCGCAGTTTTCTAGCATTTCCTCACCGATTTCAAGCTGTCGGGAGGGTCGTCATACAAGCTCAAACCAGCCATGGCCGTCGCTTTCGCAATTCGATCGGTAAACTGCAATTATCCGAAATTTGTTCAATATAAATTTAACAACAAACTGAACTAAATAAAAGAATACAGAATAACTGTAAAATATTAAACTGTAGCCCAAATAAAATAAATAATAAAATACACAATAATTGTACAGATAATACTGTGCATACGAAACTGAAGAATCTGTCTGGATGTGTGTAATTTACAGAAATGCAACGATGGTTACAATGCATACACTGGTACACATTTCACAATTACCACCCCGCCACTATTTTTATGAAATCAAACTCATAAAAAGCGGGAAATATCAAATATTTACAATGAATAAATTTCAAATTTAATTTTCCAAAAATGTCTAGTGTAGAAGGCGAGACTTACGTCTTTTAACGTGGCCACGGATAATAACGGTAAATACGGCTGTAAATCACGGTACAAGGACGTCCGTTTGATCCAGCCCGTGCAGCATTCCACCAGCAGATCCCGAATCCAGATGGTGGCCTTCATTTTCACAATTTCTGAGGAAAACCCGGGTGTGTATACGTAGTTTGTCCCCGTAACAAATACGGAAAAAATATTTCTAAATTCATTTATCAAGCATTATGCACCAAGTTTCTTAAGGCTCTACTAAGGACTTAATTATAGCTGCAAGCGGAGCTCAATTAACGCCACTACACTACAAGCACTCAATAACGTTTTCCACACGCGGAAAGATACATCCGTGCACCAAACATAAAAACTTCGCACAACAACAAACATCACATTTTTATTATCGCTCTTATTGGCATTATTACTACTAAATAATGTAAACCACGCAAAAAAAAGAAAAAAACCCTTAAAACTCTACACTTTATCAACTGAAATAGACTACAGTTATTTTGGAAAATTTTCCTTATTTCCTAATTTCTTTCTTATTGCAGTGCAAAAAAAATAATTTCCTTTTGAAAAAAGATCACGAAAAAAGACGCACTAAAATAAAAATAACATTTAAAACGCTTACTGATCGCGGCGTCCAGCAGTTCCTTGGTATCAAACTCCAAGTACGGCGTCGGATCCAGCAATAAAATGCGGAAATACTCCAAGCGCGCCAGATGGCGCAGGCCGGGCGAGGGAAAATAACTGGACAGCGCATCCAACGCCGTGTTGATCGTCTCGTTTAGATTGCGCACAAATTCCTCCGTATCCAGACTGCAAACAATCATCACAAGCTTCAGCTACCAATGCGATACAGACCACAAAATTTAATTTTATCAGTGTTTTATTAAGACATTTTATATAAGACATTAAGACATTCTACTTACATTATACAAAAATATCATCGGAAAAAAATAATACCAAAAATTAAGTTATTTATTCCAAAAACATGGTAAGACGTGGGCTTCATATACGTAAACAAATCGTGCATAACATCACATCATAATAACTGATATGCTGATTGCAGTCGCGCTTAGTCGTGATCGAAGATTAAAGCCATCACACTACGCTAAGGCCACACCATCTGCACATTTCCCCAACAATTACACACAACAAAACTGAAAAACAATTCGAGATTGTCTCTCCCCTTAACAAAATGGCGAGAATACGACACCTATATTATCAGAAAATACTTTTACATAACCGGCAAGAGCAGTAAGAAAAACTAAGCACTGTTAGAAAAAAAACGAGGCTTTTGCCTGCTGGTACAATACTGCAAAGAAAGCAGCTGAAACAATGGATCTCCCCAAATAAAAATAGTTTATCTGAAACAAATCAGCAGCGAAAAAAAAACAAATTTCTATGTTCAACAGCAGATTCATCAACACCGGACACGTTGTATGCAAGAATGACTACTCGGTGCTTAAGTGAATCTCAGGTCTTGGCTAAAGCCAATCCACTACAAAACACTCCAGTCAGCACAGATCATACAACGTAACGAACGTGTACGCCTCCAAGAAAAAAAGAGCATTTAATGCAAGTGCTGTCGTTCAAGAAATTATTTTAAAAAATACATATAATATGCCAAAAATTAAATACACGAATTTTAATCCATCTGACCGCACTGAACAAGCTGCCTAAATACTATGTAACCGACGCTGGCTACCGGCGGAAGAACCGGCTTACCCGTCGCCCAGTCCGGTGCGCATATCGAACAAATGCCGCCGCGCCAGAATATCCACGGCGGCGTCGGCGCGGTAATTCTCGCTTAAGATGGCCATAATACTGTCCACTTTGTCCAGATCCTGCCCGTCCATCACCAGCAGTCGGCAGTACCAGGTCAGGTAGTCGAACACCCGCATCGCCTCCTCTGCAACACGTTTACACCGCAATGTATTCTACTGGCATCCCAATAGATACTTGAGCTCCCAACATTCACGGGAAAACTGCAGTTATTTTATCCCGGATTCATGCACTCACTATTGCAAAATTTTGCTATCGATTTCCAAATCAAAAACTAGTTTGATTCCAAAATATAAAACAACGTTTAATATCATCCATAGGAAGCGCATAATAATCCTAAACCGCTTGTTAAAAATAAAAAAGATATTAAATAATGTGTAAAACATGTTAAAACTAAATAAGGTTAAAAACATAGTAAATAGTAATATCATCACATAAAAAGAATATTCACAAATATTAGCAATTAGTCCGCTGATTTGTCAGCATTTTCATTTAGAATACTGTTCAAATACCAGGAAAGGATGACACTATACACCCGACATATCTAACAGCCGAAACGTGCCACTGCTCTACGTTATCACCGCAGTGAAACCGTGCAACACAGACACCTTCTAGGAAATACTATTTTTTAAAACGCGTTAAAGTTTTGCTCACCTCCAAGAAGAGCAGTCGGCTCGAAGATCAAATCGAAATATTGCTTGTACAGCGCCAGATCCTTCATTTCATACAGACACCACAATTTCACCGCGGTCTCCTGCGTCGGACGGGGAAAGCGCCGGTCCAGTGTCCGAAAGGCCAAACTCAGAATCACCTTCCGCCTGGCCGGTTCCGCGCAGTCAAACGACTGCAAATCGTTACAATAAATAAGCATTCACAAAATTAAGTAATAAAACTAAGTAAAACTATTAAGTAATAAACTGCAGCACTTATCCAAAGTACGAAGAAATAAATTTCTCGCAAGCAAAAATTCCCAGAAATGTAGAAACTAACAATCATGCAACAATTATATTCTTCCTATTATTCCACACAATCGCGGAATATTTTTAACAATTTTTATAATTTATAATGATCCGTCAAAACGTTAAAAATAACAGCAGCATTGAAGCAGCCACTTTTTTTCATTAATTTTATGAATTACAATTACAGTGTAATTTTTATCTACATGTTCACAATGAACATGAACATCACTTGAAGCTGAATTTTGTTTGCAGAATATTTTAGCAATAAGAAAAGCAAATAAATTTCAGACATTACTGAGAGCAAATATAATTCCAAATCAAATATAAGTATTCTTCTACCAAGGAAAAGAAATACAGATCAGCGTACCTGCATGATGAGGCTGAAAACAGCCATGTTGTAATGCTTGTCAGCATTCTGCGGATCGGCTTTACACAGTTCCAGAGCCACTTTCTGGATTTCCTTCGGATTGTGATTGCGCATGTACTGCGTTAAAATACCCTCCAGAAACGGCACGCCGGTCTTCTTTACCGCTAACACTTTCTGTAGAAAGTTATGCAGACCCGCATCTGCAATTAAACACCATTCCATCAAAAATATTCCCAAAAATACCGACAATCAGAAAGTCTCCACATGGGCAACTTCTAACCCAAAAAGCAAAAATAATAAACAAAATATCGGTACAAAAGTATTTATCTAGGAAAGGAATATCGCAAGGAAAAACCAAAAGCAATTTGCAAAATCAGGCAAACCAGAAACACGAATTAATTGTAAAAATGGGCAGCATTTCACAGATAATTCCACATTCCTGACATTCCTGCATAAAATATCACATAAAATGTGTTTTCTTTATATGAAAAAAAGTTTTTAAGTTAACCTATTAACATAACAACACGTTCACTGCTCACATAGGCTTTCGCAAACGACGATTAAGAATAAAGACCCATTGCGAATTGATGGAAGCTGGCTGCCCTCGCACTACGTTAATGTCTTACCGAAGTAATCGAGTAAGAGAAATTACGAGCAAAGGCAATCAAAATCTTTCGCCTCCTAAATTTCTACAAATTTCTCCAGTTTTCCCACTATCCACAACTCGATCTTAACCAAAACTTAAAATATCCTAAAATTTTTTACATGAAAATGAATTTGTTCCGAGAAATTTCAGGCTTTTTAACTTTTCCTTTAAATAAAATCCACAACGAGGAAAAGTGACCAAAAAACGTTCCCAATATAAAATTCCCACACAGATTACAAAATAATTCCTACCAAAATTTAAAATACTTCTGAAAGTTCTTAATGAAAAATAAAAGCTAGTTTTTTGAAGTTTCAGGTTGTTCGCCGCAGTTTTCGACTTTCCATTACAGCAAAATCCGAGAAAACCCACAAAATGAATGAAAACAATTACAAGAAACCCAGATCCATCATCCCTTACTCAGAATAATTTCGAAAAAAATTATTAATTATTTTCCAGTTAAAAAATCCCATTTCCGGAAGAAGTTATAGTGTTTTCAATTTTTACCAAGGATTAAAGAAGAAAATCAGCGAAGGACCAGACAGACACTCTCGCCCTTACAATCCGCCCTAAAATATCAAGATGCATCATTCCTCACTCGGAATAAATTCGGAAAAAAATCTTAATTATTTTCCAGTTAAAAATACTCCTGCTCCTGATGAGATTATGGTCTGTTTAATTTGTATCAAGGATTAAAGAAGAAAATCAGCGAAGAACCAGGCACTTACAATCGGCCACTTCATGGACAAAATAATGCACCATACAGTGGAAGGTGAACTCATCCAGTTCCGCTGTAATCGGCACACTCTCCACCAGCTCCTGACACGTCCGCGCCACCCGGGAGCTGACGGGATCCAGACGGTGCAGCGCAATGGCCTTGCACACAGTGAACGGCGGGTTCCCGCCGTGTTTCTTCCACAGCTTCTCAATCTCCTGCACGGCGCGCTTCGGGTCCTGCTCCAACGATTTATCTACAAGAAGAGCACATTCTGCAAGGGGATGGGGGTGGCAGAACGGCAAGCGTACCGAGGACGTCGCGCAGACGCTTCCCGTTGGCCCCCGCTTTTATCCACACATCGCGATCGCGCAAATTGTACCAGGACGAGTTCTCCCGTCGCGGCCCGACTCCGCTCACCGGGCAGATTTTATTGCTGGACATACTCGGGAGGATGCTGGCCGTGTAGCCCGAAACCATAAAATTAACAGGCACGTAAAAAGCTGCGGAATAACTGCGCGGGAAAAAATTATACGGAGTTTTTTTCTTATTTTGGCACGATTTTCCGTCGCCGCAGTGCCTGATTTCTTAAAATTAATTTTTGGCGAATTTTCGCTCAGCTGGGACATAAACTGCAGCCAATTACAGGTGGGAATTCCAATTGAACTTCCGCTGGAATCACATTCGACGGAATGGACATGTGGACATTTTCTCAGAATTCGTATAATACAGTTAATTTTTTTCCATTTTTTGAGCTGCTATTTTAGTTAGGAAAAAAATAATTTTTTACCTTCAATATTTAGTTCACTAATTTGATGTTTAATAAAAACTAACCGTTTGTACTTTGAAATGACTGGAAATGGAATCAGTCAACTGCCGTTGGCAATTCCATTTGGATCACACCGAAAATTCACGAAACAACCGAATTCTTTTCAGTCTAAATTATTCTTTAGAACGTTATTACATAAAAGATTAATTTTTCTCTCGTTATTAATTCGTTAGTTTCGTTTAGTTATAGCTTAACATCTGTATTTAATTCGTTAAATTTTCAAATAAATAAGACAGGCAGTTTTGAGAATTAGCCAATAGAATGCTGCGTGAAGCGAAGCCCCGCCTCTCCATTTGCACAACGAGAATAGCCAGCGGTCTGTCTCTTTTGCGTCTCGACACGCTTGAACGCGTTTGTCCACTATCCATTAGCGAGACGGGCGGTCAAGTGGCGTTTGGAGAGCTTTTCAGCTTTTGTGCAGAATTCCAAAATCTCTGCAGATTTCCATCTGAAGATTATCAAGCATTTTCTCGCGCCGTGTACACTGAATATTGAAGTGCGCGCGAGGAGGCGTGGAAGCATCTGTCATCCGTGCGAGATGTTGTAGCGCAGACCTTTCCATGTGAAGCAGCGTCAATGTTGATTGCTATGCGTTAGCCAACGTAATATGGCCTTCATGATCGCTCTGCTAGAAACATCGCGCTCTGCATTTCATCAAAGTTGGTCTACGCGTTTTTCGGCAATAACGGCCACTTGTTGCTGCACATCGTGGATACTGCGCGTTTCTTCGGCAGGACGACGCGGTGTTTTGGTTCTTCCTCGGTGGTTTCACACGGATTACGACGGATGTTATAAAAGCGGTGAGTGTTGTGATGGTTCTTCTGCTTTTATTTATTTACGTTAACGAAACAATATTCCAAATTTATTAAAAAATTTCGAGCGCTTATTTTTATCAGTGTAAATTCCACTCTGTTTTTCTGATCTCTCGTAGAACTTTTTGCGTTCTTAAATCATCCAGGATTTTTTTCATTATCGTTTTCTTTATTTTCTTCTGTAACTGTTAAATTATTTTTTAAAATAAAATTCGTTATTAAATCAACTTGCGCGCTGTAATTTTTGAAACATTAATTTTTCTGTAGCTTTCTGGTAAATTATTAACATTATACATTAACACTCAGAAAAATTTTGTGGAACTTTTATTTTTTATGTGGTTCTTCTGCAAATTTAGATTTATTTTGTAATGAACTGTTTACAGAGAATACAAATCATGCGAAAATAGATTAAGCTAAAATCGTGCATTTCATTTTATTAATCGGCACCTCTACGTTTTGTGGATTTTTGTTTGCCGCAGTTTTGCAAAAATATGCAAATTTTTCGGGCCGTCTTTTAAACGAAAATAAAAAAAACTATAGGTAAAAAATCTTGTGGACGCGTTTACTTTTTTTGTACTTAATTGTTTTTTCATATTTATACGTATGTTTATATTTTTAATTTTTTTAAATAACTGAATAAAAGTGTAGAAGTAGCGCCAGTGATTCAAGCCAAAATTGTGCCTTAAACCTCCGTCAAGTTACTGTGTACTTTATTGGGTTATTGGAGTGAACATAGGATAGAAACAAAATTACGCGTCACATCATTTTAGCACATAGTACACTTCGTCCAATCTCTTACCAATACAGAACGTTTCCTGAACACAAGCAGCATTACCACGCATCAAAGCTATGCTAATTCTCTGCTTCAGGAATAGAGTGGACCGTTTCTCCTGTGTCCTCTCGAAAAGCATCTTACCGAGCGTAGACATCTTGCATTTAGATTCTTTACTCCAAACGCCCATTGTTTCAAAAACCAAAGCAGAGAAAATAAAGTTAGCCCGTAGATATCCGTGTTTATTGTTTTCTTTGCCTCTGCCATCAAGTTACTTAATTTTAACGTTGATAATAAATTCCGTCAATGTAGACTCTGTACACAATGTCTTGTGCATTTGCGCCGGCCTTGCGTAAACAAACGCGATGGCATAAATTTCCTCGGCAATTTCAAATGTCTGTCTGAGAAACGTCCAGCCGAAATGATTGGCCTCCTGCTGGGCTTTATCAAGTGGAACACGTTGGCTTTTAAGAATAGACATTCGGCGCTTTATCGGCAGTATTTTTACGGGGATTGTAACGGTCGCTTCGTCGACGGAATGGCATGATTTTCTCTGACCCGCTGCGGTATTACCAAGGTATTTATTTGTTCGCCGGTTTTCATGGCGATCGTTGAGGAAAATCCGCATAAAAACCCAGGGTTTTTATTCCGATTTTATTTTAAAGCTGATTATTTATAGGCGGTGCAGTGTCCTACTTGCGGTGTTATGGCTTATTTTTATTGACGTGATAAGTTTTGCTTTTCAACCGAAATGAAGAGCACCCGGCTAATCAAGCGATCAGATTAAATTAGATGGTGAAAATAAATATTTTGACTGACAGGTTCATGATGGATTTGGGCTTTTGTCATTCACTGAGGCTGATTTTTTGGAATGACAGCGTCCATTGAATTTGCATTTTTAATTTAATCACCCGTAAAACCATTTTTCGATATCATTTCCTTGAACATTTTTATTTCCAGATTTCCCAAATTTATTGTATTTTTTCTATTTCGATTCGGCAACAAGCGTGATAAATTTTGTTGCGGATCGTTTTTCTTTTATAATTATTTTCAGCTTTAATTTTTTAAATTTTATTAAGGGTATAATTTCTGTAAAAATATTTTATGTAAAACTTTTCGATTCGATAGCAAAATGAAACTGAATTTTTTGTGTTGTACGAACTATTCTTCGATTTTTTAAACATCGTATCGAGCAGTTAAATTTTAGAAACCGTCGAAAAAAGCTGGCTTGTCAATTTTCTGCACTGGGATTTGCCGAAGAAAATTTCTGCATGGTTAATTTTTCACCATTTTATTTATTTATTTTTAATTTTTTTCTTTACATTTCGTTCGCGTTCAAATTGAATAATAGGGTGTGTGCGCCGGACAAACATTTGATTTGTCGTCGTGAATGGACTCGTTGTGCAGTGCAAACGAGTTAGAGAAATGGTTTGTGAAGCGTATAAAAATGAGGTGATCAAGGTCCTTATCTGGGTGATGCGCATGAGCGCCTGTATCAACACCGATAACGAAGCGGCACTCGTGTCACTGTGTGACCGGGCTGGAATTACTGTGCGCTAACGACCGGCTTTGATGCGGGAGCAGCATGCGGCACAGGCATTAAGTTCATAACCGGCATGCGGGGATTAATATCCATATCGCATAAATCTACGACAGATGACTGACCCACTTTTTCATTGAAACCAGATTGTCCATTCCATTCCTCAAGAGGCTGCTTCATTTCGTCATAAATAAATATGTAATTGGCAAAATTTACATAAGTCAAAGTAATTTCGTATTATATTTCCTTATTAATGTCAGTTTAAAATTACTGAAACAGTAAGAATTATTCAGAACATCACCTTGCATTTTTACGTCTTAGTACAGCGCATTTTTTAATGAATAATTTCCAAGAAAATGGAAAGTGCTAAAAATAATAGAAAGTACCAATTCGCAGCAGAAGTGCAAAAGTGGCTTGCTCCATTTAGCGCTGGATGACCGAAAAGAGAATTCGCCAGCTTTATACTGAATCTTTAAAAGCCGTCGACATCCGCAATAAAAAAGATAAGAATTTTTATCTCAATTTTTTGTTTTTACCGTGCAATATGCGGCTAGTTGTTTCTGAACAGGCATGCCACTACTCTACGATTTTCTTGTTCAGTAATGGGTAATGTACTGTCAATATCCGATGCGGTGAAAAATGAATAAATTAATTTATCTGTACACGAAGAATAGTTTAAAAAAATAGCAGTTTTTCCCGCTCTTGATAAAAACTAAATATAAACTTTAAATTTAGTGATGGCGGTTTTTCAAAGCTGATTTGCCCGAAATGGATTATAATAAAGACAACCGGATTTGGAATTGCCCCTGTTCTACGAAGCTGGTTACGATGAAGTGCGCTCAGCCCACAGATATGAAGTGGTCCGACTGCTGCAGTATGCTGCATTTTAAATAACCGTACGGTCCGCACTCGGCACCGGGCATCTCCTTGATGGGCCCATTAAATTGTGCTCGAGTATGTTTGCCGGCGCGCATCTCTTTTCCGCTAGTGCGACGTTGCCGTGACCGGCGGGCTGATTTTACAATCTCACGGCCGTAGGAGAGAGCAGCAGCGAGCGTCTCAGTGTCAAGCTGGCGTTTAGTCGCTTAGCACGTACACTTTCTAATCCGATAAATCCTCACTACAACTGCCGCTCTCTGTCCGCGGTATTATTATGATGGATTGCGCGTGTGGCCGCTGATTGTTAGCGCTATTATGCGAATTACGCTTTTGTACCTAATAATCGCCTTTTAATGACTGCGGCCCTGATTGATCAAAAGGTTGGTGGTTGGCCGTTTATAGTCTCTTTTCGGCTGGTGGTTTTTTTTCTAATGAGGGGTATCACGATCATGGTCAAATCGGTGAAAGGCGGTTGCGGTTTTATTGCTTTTTAAATCATGCCCGAAAGGTCTTTTCTCAAACCGTTGTTTCGCATCAAATGTGGCTGATTATTTTTTTATATCTGTGTTAACCATTGCTGCTGTCTTGCCGTTTTGAAATTATGCGCAGAAGAGTGATTCAGATTAACCACTGTGTAATTTGGTAAACATGTCAAGGCATTTAAAAATATATTTTGTCGATGTGAAGAAAAAAATATTGAATGATGTTTAATTAAGTAGAATCATTAAATAATTATTATTCAGAAATTTCGGCGTTTAAGCACTGCAGGATCAAGCTAAGTGCCACTGTGCTACGAAGTTGACCACAAACAGTGCTCTAAAATTATACTCGTAATTGTAAAGACCGGTTACGCTGAATCGTTTTACCGAATACCATCTTGCATAAACGATATTTCAGTACTGTATTTCATTAAATATTATTTACGAATCAGCTATTTATTATGTCTTTTCAGTTATGTTTTAGAGTTTTAGTATTACCGGGATTTCAGTGAATTCGAATAAGATTTAAATTTTCGATTTCCCTTAATTGTTTTCAGCTTGAAGCTGCTTTTGAGTTAAATTGTTTGGCGTCAAAGGCGTCGGTTTGGCTGTTGAATAACAGCAGATTCTCAAAATTGAATTCCAGTAGAAAATTAAAAATAAGAATTTCCAAAATTTTATATCGGAAAAATTTTGTTTTGGGCATGTTTTCAGCCGTCTTGATTATCGATTATCGGCTTTTCCGAGCCGGCAGGAATATAGTTTTTAAATTAACTGCTTTTTAATGATTTTAAATCCCGAGGATCCTCTTCGATGATTTTCTCCTGACACAAATAATTATCAAAATGTCATCTTGCAGCATATGTCTTGCACTGACATGTGGAATGCGTGTTGTGCCGATGAATTACAAGCTGTGAATAGAATTATGTCAACTGACCTCTTTTGTCAGTTTTTACGTTGCTGACTGTCCCATTTTTCGCTGTACCTTTGGCACAGCATTTTAACTGTGCCGGTGAAAATGCAGCCTTCTTAATAAATGTGTAATAGCGTATGAAATTTATTCATGAAGTGGAATTCAATTTTAATTTATAATCGTCGAGATTTTAAGGGAAACACGCAATACACGTTCTGCTCCGGCGGTGAATGTTGCTGGTTAAAATGAAGAAACATCGTTTCCGGCGAAAATGTTGATTAAGTCCGTGAGAACGAGAGGCGGGCGAATTATTCAAAGATAATGAAGCAGAAAGCCAGCAGATCCGACCACGCCCCTGACGAGGCGTTAAACGGCATGTTTTCAATCAGTTTTGAATAGTTACTGTTTGCGCTTCTTTTAGGCAGACTTTCTTAAATGCTTGGGAAAAAAATAATATGCTTTACATCTAACTCTTTTTAAAAATCTTTTTAATTTTTTTAAAAGCTTCAAATTTTTTCAGGTAGTGAAAAAAAAATTTTTTTACGAGTATTTGCGTTAATTTAGTAAATTTGTTGCTTAATTCGTTCGTTCGTTAAATTCGTGCAAAGCAAAGGAGACCATGGTATATTTGGAAGTTTTGTGCCACTGAACTACCATAGCAGGCGTACAAGCTTATAGAGTTACATCGCGTATTACACAAGTACCAATAACAAAAATACACAACATCATTCTCGCTCAGCTAATTTGAAGGCAAAATACACATCTTCCCGCTCAACCATGTCGCTTATAGAGTGTACGCACTGTACGGAAGTGATCGATGGTCGACGATCTAATTATCAAGATAAAGTTGCTTCAAAAACCTGATACGGAAATATTTGAAAAATAACAAAATGAAGTTTAATTTTCAATGGACATGACCATATGTTGGCGCTTACATATTTTAATTTATGATCCTTAATATTGTAGTTCTGTATTTATTTCTGACGTTTTATCATTGGTCATTCCGCATATCTTTCAGTTGTTACCGACGAATTTAGTCATCAATTTTCAACCATGAAAAATTACAATTTTTAATTTTTTTTCTGCCACAGCTGGATGTTAATCGGTGACGAAACCCCTGCTTACGGGAATAAAAACGGGACAAGCGTATGTTTAATCTGGCCTACTGATTGGACCGATGCGGTAGCATTAGGCAAATTCGCAATCCTCTGGGAGAGTTAGGCGAGTGGTGTCGGTTGAGCGTCACTGAAGAATGCCGGATATGAGCGTGCTGGACGATGTGCTGCTGGAGATCGCCCAGACCGCCGCCGCCGCGCGACCGCGCAGCAGTCTGGATGTCAGCGGAAATCATGCGGGAGACGCTGTGCACCGGTAAGTTAAATTCAGTTGGTCGTGGTTTTCTGGCAACGGTGGATAGCCCCGTTGGTCTTTTTATTGATTTGTCTATCGTTTACTAAATATTTAGAAAAACAGAGATTTCTAATGAATGCAGCATTTAGTTTTTGTACAGCTATGATTAAGCTCATGAACACTAGTAAAAATTGTTGGAAACCTGTAAATCATCGTAGTGTATTGGCTTGATTTGGCGGATTCGGCTACGTCGATCGCAAATAATTATACAGCTGAAATTAATTAAATCCGTACATCGGTGTTAAAAATGCAGACCGATCGGCAGACTTAATTTTCATTTTTTCGATATGTTTCAGAAAATTTTTGGTGCCGAATTTTATTACAGGAGTGTCGGAAAAAAAAACATTTAAAGTGGAATTAGCGCTGTAATTTGTAATAATTCCGGAAGGCTATGAAATATATATCAACTGCTGGTTGTGTGCAACTTTGAACTTTCTCAATCGATGGCCCCTTTTCTTTGGGTGGCACTGAACTACAATATTGTGCATAAATTTTCCATCCTGGCATTTGATAGCCTTAGCGAATCATGCCAATTAACGCAACAAATAACAGTACTTAATTCCCTTTCGACAAAAATATATTCCCTAAAGTATACAAAGTATTTAATATTCCCTTCCGTACGGATATGTCAAAAACTCCCTCGAACGGAAGTTATTTATTTTTGTTTTTAAACGATTTTCTTATGGCTTCGGCGGCGTCAGTCAGGCAATCGCGGGGAATTCACGATGACAAAATAAAGTTTAATACTCGGAGATAATTTTCATGGTTGTGTGGTTGATGAAAACGATCGCAGTCGGCAAACGGAAACGGCAATCAATCTTTGTTTAGCGCGTGAAGAGGGAAACCACTTTTTGACTGGCCTGTCAATTGATTTGCGTTTTGTGTAACGCTGTGTCCAACGCACAACCAGCGCCGCTTCCGCCTATTGATCAACCCCGCAACCATGTCAATACTGAACACAGCGCGCTCAATTGAACTAACACAACAACGCACTACACAATCGACGCTGTTTCCCGGTTACATTGTGTCAGGGATCTTTTGCGGTTGACTTTGCCGGTTGCCTGTGTTCGTCATTGCAGTTAATATTGAAGAAAAAGTCCAACATGACAAAATTAAGTACATAAAGTCTTTCGTAACAGGTAAAAACGTAAAAATAAATTGTGAGACTTTTTTCGGCATTTTTCAGTTAGGTCCTTCGCTGGTAAATACTAAGCAAACGTGATTATTTTCGTTTTAAATATGACAGACACAAAGCTTAGCAGCAAAATGTTTTATTGAATTTTACCGTTAATACTCTACCTACCGTTTCCACTTTCCAGCATTTTTCAACAAGCGTGTAGAGATCGTAGCAGACTGGCTGTACTCTATGGTAGCGTCCCTCACTGGACAGAAATTATATGTACAGAGAGTTGCCTGTAGCAGAATTATTTGGAATATCATGATAATAATCTTTTTATAATAAACTTATGTGAAGTACAAATTTTTTGCATCCAATGAAGGATCGTAGTAAACGCTCATAAAGATAAACAATTTTAATTTACATATAAAGTGCCGAAAATTAATGCTACAGTAGAAATTTCCTGTCGTTGTATTAACCACAGGAAATTTATTAGAAATGTTTCGCTGATAATAATTCCAAATAATTTACAGAAGATCGAACGGCGAATCGCCCTACAGCTCCGGTTACTACCCGCACTATGACCTTTCCTCGGACACGGACACCAGCCACGCCCCTTCCGACGTCTCCAGCCGGACCTTCCCCCGGCGGAACCCCTCCCGCCCCTCCGTCCGCGACTACCCCGCTCTCCACCTCAACGGCCACCCCCGCGACACCCTCGACGGGCTCCCGAAGCCCCAGAACGGCCACTCGCCCGACCTGCAGATCCCCTGCCCCTTCGGCACCTTCCTCAACCTGGACTTCGTCGAATTCTGCAACAACCTCGGCCACCAACCTCCGGAGTCGGTGCGGTCGTTCCGCAGGCCGCCGCACGCCCGCACCACCTCCGAAGAAATGGCGCAAACCTCCATGGAGCAGATGCTGTACACCGACGAGCAGCGTGGCGCGTGCAGCGCGCGCGGCGGCACCATGGTCCCGGCGGAGGCCCTGGAGAGTGTCCGGGAGAAGCTCCACGCCGGATTGCGCGAGATGCAGCGACTCCAGGCCCAAGCGGATCTGGTGCCGATTCTTCAAGCGGAAGTGGAGGCGCTGAAGCGGAAAAGGGCGGAGATGACAGTCGGGACGCAGACCAGCGAGGCCATCCAACGCCCGGCGCTACCGGAGTGGTTGGTCAGCCGCCGACGGGAGGAAGGGGAGTTGTTGGATGTGTTGAAGCAGGTGGCGGTGCGGGAGATGTCCCCGCTGGCTGTGGCCCGGGTGCGGGCGGTGCTGGAGGGAATCAGTCGGCGGGATGCGCTGGAGAAGGCCACCGAGACGGAGGAAGTGGGGAGTGGGCAACGGCGGTGCTCGGATATCGGCGTGCAGAGCGGTAAGCTTGCGTTCGTTCTTTATCGGTTGCTTAGAGGGAGTTTATAGCGGTTGCTATAACTACTGTATATGGCTACGTGCTACGCCCTCCCCGATGCCAAAATGCTAGTCTGTTCGCATAAACTAGTCGCCCGTTTGCTACACTTCTAGCTGATAGCAAGAGAGTAGCCCATTCACAGCGGCTTGCTACGACCAGACGGCACCCGCCCGGTGTGATTATAGAAGTCAGCCGCCCACAGTAACGGAAGGTAGCAACAGCAGCGCTCGCCCACCGCTTCCGGCACGGGCAACCTCTTATGGTGGCGTGTTACTTGACTATGGCAAGCCGATATTAGGCTTATGGCAAGCCGACATTAAATACATTCTGGCAATTGGCAAGCCGATTTACACGTACTCGTAATACTGCTATATTCTTGAAATTACTGTATTTTAATTCACTTTTTACTTTTTAATTGTTTTTTCAAACATTGCTTTATCGAGATTTCTCTAAAATCTAAATCGTCTTCAAAATCTAAACCGAAATTTTTGAAGAATTTCAATTATAAAATTTTAAGTTTAGTTGCAAGTTGAAATTTTAAAAGAAATTTAAGTTCAAATTATTAGTTGCATTTTTAAAAAATTACAGCTGAAATTTCAGATTTTAATTAAAAGTTAGAAAAATGGAAGTTTAAATGTAAAAAGTTTCGTTACATGATCTTGTTTTTTAATTCGAACTTGGTTTCAAACTTTCAATTAAGTGGTTATTGTGCACTGTATCGAATTTTTCCGCATTATCTGCGAAGTTGGTATATGGAAATAGCAACCTCAAGAGGTTACTACATGACTTAAACATTGTCTTTACGAGCTAGCAATCTAGTCACGACTCACGACTACCAGTAGCCTCGTCTGTTTATGCAGGTATTTGTGCTCCATAGTCGGTGCTACATAGCCAGCTACGTAGCAGTAGTCTGCCAGCCTGCGAAATTGGTAGCAACTAGCAAGTAGGCAGCTCGATAAACTGCCTCTTAGATTAAGTCCAGTTAATTATGTTGGTTGAGGGCCTCACGACTGCCTTTCATTAGATATGATTTCGATAACAACATAAAATCACCTTTTTCTTGTGAATTCGCTTATACTCGCGCTGCTATTTAGAATCAGGTTAATTAATTTATTTTTTGACTGGCCAGAATGTCGAACAAAAACAGGTCTTATTTGCCCATAAAAAAGTACAACGAAGAGATTCAAAAAAGATATATTGTTATTATTGCTTAGTATTAGTTATTTATTATTACATGAAGGACAGCATTTTATTACTTATCGAAAGTTTAATGTCTGATTTACCGCATTACTATTTCCGGTCTGTTTGTGGTCAGTTATGCAATTGAGCGAGCGTTGCAGATGACCTTTTGGAGGACGCATCCCTCGCCGATTCCGGTAACTGTGAATCGGAAGAAGTTGAGCAGTTATCGATCGAATCACCGCAGTTGGTCGATTTCGGCATCGGCACCGATTCGCCGGCGATGATTTGCATCGAAACCTGGACACCGCCCGCCGAAACCAACGAAACCGCCACCAACACCGACCCCCTGCCGACACCTCCACCAACGCTCATCCGCAAAGCTTTCCGCACCCCAAAAAAATCTCCCAAACAGATATCCCATAAAAAACGCCGAAATTCCCGGCAAAAGAAACCAGTCCCGACAAATGCGTACGAAAATCCCTTAATAATCGAGGAGCCCGAGATTCCTCAGGAAACACCAGCGGAACCGGTTGATAATGTTGAAAATGGGGAGAAATCAGCGGACAAGCCGGAAGTAACGGAATCCATCGCCGAAAACGGACACCGCGAGGAGAGCGCAGAGAAATTGACACCGAGTGTCGAAGCTGTGCGGCCTGTGAGTGAAGATGATCCGTTGTCGCCGGCAGTGTCAACACACTCGGAGGAGCTGAGTGAGGACGAGGGCAGCTATGATCTGCGACACGGATATCTGTCCAACAAGTGCGGGGTGGAAGAGAAGCCCAGTGTGACCAAGATCTTCACTTTCGATGACTACGAAGCGGTGTAAGTGGCCCAAGAATTTTGCCGGCTTTAATTTCACGAAGTGGCTAATTGCGTTTTTCGCATTGCGCTTGATATTTTAATCTAAATTCAATTTTAAAAATATTTGGAAGACCTGGGCACTGCAGAAAAAATTTCAGTCATGATTTTCTGAAGTTTTTTATTGCCAACATTTCGGTAGGTTTTACTTTGCATAAAATATTGGAATTGTTTTTTCCTACAGCAGCAGATTAATCTGTTTCATGGCCAGTAGTTAGCAAACAGTTTGTTTCTCTTTTACTTTGTGAAAAATAATTATAAAGGTCTGAACAGTGTAATAAAATTTATGTAAGTTCTAGTTTGCAGAATAATGGGATCGTGTTTCTCTACGAGTAGCTTTTTCATGGTAAAAACTATAAATATAGATTTTGTTTCTGCATTGTACATTTTGGGTACCGCGCAATTGCTGCTTGACTTTGGTTTTTAGTGACCTACAGATAATGTTCGTATTTAGAATCTTGTAGACGCCAAAATTTCATTTAACTAGCGTATTAATTATGTAGTAATGTTTTAACATTATATACCACTTTTCACGCTTTTTTAGCGGTGTGATTAGCAAGGAAGTGATGGCCGCCTGTAAGGTCCTCAACGACTATCTGCAGCGCGAAGGCCGCTCGAATTCGCGCAGCAGCGAATCCAGTGTGAATGGATCACTAAGAAAGCGCACCAATAAAATCGTAAGCTTGATTTGATTTTTATATTTTCTCATTTTCCAGTGGAACTTGTATTGAACAGGATCGGTGTATCCGCATGATCGAGGAGGAGTGGTTCCGCGTGGCGGGCCAGAAGAACGCCAACGCCCAACTAGTCAACGACTACCTCGACGCCTTTGAATTAATGTCCAAGGCGCTACTGCACAAAGTCGTCAATTTGGCCGACAACAATGTACGTTGATTTGCGTAGGTCTTTAACATCAGTTAACTGGAATTAATTTATTTACCAACAGAGCGTGGTCGTCCATAAGAAGCGCTTTCGGTCCATATACGATTATGTAGACTCACGCTGCAACGGTGTTTTGTAGGCGATCCCGCGTCGCGGCTTTAATTTGAATTTTTTTTCATAACTGGGCAGTTTTTTCGTACAAATTTTTTACCGAAAAAAACATTTTGCAGAAAAGAGATTTACGGCTGTATATTCCTTATAATCTGGGTCGTTTCGTTGACTTTTCGGCGACTCACCATAAAGTCCTGAACGAACGTGTGCATGGCAAATGTTCGTAGTGCATGGGCGGTACTGGTCGCAGCTGCAGACGGTAAACTTGTTTAACATGGAGCTTGTTTTAACTTTCCATTCAGTTATGGTGTTTCAGCTTTGGCACACGTCAAAATCTTTTTTGCTTTGTTTTATGCGAGTCTCAGACTCCATGATTTGCATTGAGTAAACCGCGAAATTTGCTCCTGTTGAGAAGTAAAACTATGACAAGGAAATCAACCTCAAGTTGCGTTGAAACTGTTTGGACAGGGCAACACGGTGCTGCACTACGCCATCTCGCAGAACCACTTCGACGTGGTCAGCGTCCTGCTGGACTCCAAAGTCTGCGACGTGGACAGCGTCAACCGCGCCGGCTACACGGCCACCATGCTGGCCTCGCTGGCGCATCTGGCCACCAACACCGACCAACTGGTCGCGGCCAGGCTCTTCAAACTCGGCGACATCAACCGCAAAGCGCAACAGGTCAGTGAAAGTTATTTCAGCTGCTTGAAATCCAATATTGCAATATGTTGACCAGTTATTACGAGAAACGTTCAACAGAGTGGATATAAATCGCTACCAAGTGGCAGTAATAAAAGTAAATATAGTAAGCACACAGAAAGATATTCCCGCAAAGCAGTGCTTATCCTTGTGTGACATAAAAATAATTACTAATAACAGAAACCTGCAATAAAAAATCGGCAGTTAAAATTGTGAAATTTAGAAGTCTTTTACTGGTTATGTGTCAGCCATAAAAAAGTCGAATACTATGTGTACTTTTAGCGGTGTGATCGAAGATAATCCACGAAAACGATACTTATCCATTTTGACATGTGAAAATAATCCTCTAAAAAATAAAATTTTTATAAAAGATGAGAAAAATATTCGAAAATATATGGTGGTGGCTTTTCAGCATGGACAAACGGCGCTGATGTTGGCAGTGAGTCATGGCCGGTTGGACACGGTGCGGCTGCTGCTGCAGGTCGGAGCGGACGTCAACATCCAGGTAAGATTTCTAATAATCCCTGCCAGTGATTTTTCTTCGTAAGTATTCTTTGCAACGCAATATAAAACCGTTTGGCAAGTGAATCCGGGAAGATTAATCACGTTTGGGTTTTGCCATCAGGACGACGATGGGTCGACGGCGCTGATGTGCGCCAGCGAGCACGGACACCTGGAGATCGTCCGGTTACTGTTAGGCCATCCCGACACCGACGCCCATCTCACTGATAAGGTATCCTGTTTTATCCTTCGTGCTCTTTTGCTGTTGTTATTTTTCCTCCTTCTAAAAAAGTGGTGATGATTTGCGGTAGTTTTTGGATTAATTTTGTCACTACTTGCAAATCGTTCTATTTCTAAGCTGCATATTGCTGCTGATATTCGTAGTACAGAGGCCAAGAATTAGCGTTAAAATACCCATTACCGCGAACACGAGACAGTCAGAGATATTAAAACCGATTTAAGGTCTCTTTCCGATGCGAATTGTGACTTCTTTTAACAACAAGCACATTCTATGATTTGCCGTAGTTTTTATCGCCACTTATCTGTACACGTTGAGTTTCCACTCGGAAATGTTTTTTGCTAAATTGTTATGTTCGTCCTGCGTAATACCGGTGTGTGTGAGAATTAACGTTCCCTGTTATGTTGAACGGATGATAATTTCTAATACCAGCCAGTTAAGAAATTCCCAATTTCCAGTAAAACACTTCCTAAATAAACTATTTTTAGGAAGTTTAAGTGCTCTTGGATTTTGCTCGTATTCACTGAATGTTTTTTTGAGTATTTAATTCTTTAAGAATTTTTCAAGATTTTTCAATGATTTTTTGGGGTACAGGATGGGATGTGTGCCCTGTATGTAGCGCTGGAGGCGCAACACAAGGACATCGCGGCGCTGATCTACGCCCGCACCACCCTCGGACCGGGCGACAGTCTGTCGCATTTGCGTCCTCCCACGGTGTCCGCGTCGTCCTCGTCGTCGAACGAACCGCATGAAGTCTCCAGGATTCCGCGCTCCCCCACTGTACAGTGCTGTTTTCTTATTTTATTCCTATTTTATCTTATTTTTTCAGCGTGATCTTTTTAATTTTTAATGATTACAGTAATATTCATTATAGATTAAAATACGGTAAATGGAGTTTGATTACAATATAATGCAAGTTTTTGTTTAAAATGTAATTAACTTCTTTAGTTAATAGTTTGATGGGTTAAATAGAGCTGTAATAACTTAAACAATTGTATTTATTTTGAATTTTGTAATTTCCTGTTTTGTAGGTTCCCTTAAAAGCGCCGAAACGCGACACGAACGGCAGCGGCCACGGCCCGGAGTCGGGCCGGTTCGGCTTTACGCGGAAGCTGAACCACACCACGTCCACTATGTGAAAGGAGTGGGCGTGTCTGCTTGTGAATCAGAGTATTTTCTCCTGCTTTTTATTTTTTCGGTTTCCCAAAGCGTTTGTTTGTATTGCTAATGATTTTGTTTGCCTGTAAATTTGCATTAGCCACAGAAAAGCCCCTACAAATACAGCATGGGAGAAAAAATCGTCGCATTGTACAGCGCTTCGCTTTCAGTCGACGAACAAACATGCAACCGTGAAGAAAAAAATTCAATAAACTTAGCACAATTCGTCAAAAGCTGCTGATGTTAAGGTTGTCCCGAAATTCAACGGAATGCCGCGGTTTCCCGTTGAAGCACGTGTTGGATGCCTTTGCCGCACTGCGGTATGAAATGGCAGATTAGTTTCCATGGTGGTGTGTTGTTGGCCGATGCCATCGTGATAAGACAGCTCGGTACTAACCATCGAATCCCACGATTGCGCGGGAATGCTAGCCTGATTTCGATTAAAGTACTTCCATAAAAGTAATAAGAAATCTCCATTAAATTTTAGTTTATAACTGGTACGCTCACTAGTTCCCTCCGCTTATAAAATTCTATCCTTAAGGGAAGTACTGTAGCCGCTAGATGAAGTGGCACCACTTTTAGATCCGGCCGCTGCCTGTCCCCTGCCGGACAGCGTACAAGTTAACAGCAGCGTGTGCGCTGTTTTCCGTACACCAGGCTCTGTGGTGCCATTTCATCTAGCGGCTACAGTAACTTTCCCTTTCGCGCCCTCTCAAGCATTTTTTAACATTGTTTCATGCCATTCTATAAAAAAGTGATTGGCATACACACTGGCTCGAAAACCGTTTGTGAGTGCAACATCCGGTTGGGAGTGTGAGTAAAATGCAATCCTGTCTTCTGCCAACCGCGACGCAAAACCTTGCATTTTGTGAGCCTTCCGCACTTTAAAATTTCTCAACAGAACTGATCAAACGAGTAAGACGTTCCCCACAAAAAAACACTTAGTGCAAACCAGCAAACGGAAACGAAAATACATTGTTGGCCTTTGTTACCAACTTACCAACCGAAGAAGCTGATATTCCCTAGGCCTGACTGAATGAGCACTGAACTGATTTAGAAACATGGGACAACATCACAGTTCCGGCAGACTTGTAGTAACGAAATACTTTGCTGAAAACGAGCACCGCGATGGAAGCTAGGTGAAAGGGACAAAGAGTGCTGCTGCTGTGCGACCAGTGAGTGAAGATGAGCCGCTGCTGCTGGCACTGGAAAGCTTACTCTGAGGAGCTGGATGAGCCACGATCCATTGCAAGAGACTCCTTCAACTGTCAGAATGGTTAATTTTGTACGTTTACTGAGAATTTGCCGGGAAATGCCGGTCTTTCCATTACTTTCTGCCGGCATTTCCCAAAATTAATTTCTAAGTCGAGGGCTGCATCTTGCTGATGAGTTGCTCGAACAGAGAAAAGCTTCCAATGCTAGCGTAACGGATGACCAGTGACCATAACGGGGAAATTTAGCATTCGAGGTAGAGCACAGAAGTACTTGTTCTACATGCACAGCATTGTACTGTACTATACTAAATTGTATCATATCTTCTATTCGCCTGGTTTTCGTCTGAAAAATAGTCATGATTAGTCACGACCAAATGCCACCAGTTTCTCGTACAAGCTCGTGGTTGATGACTTTGCCGCACTGCTTGATGACATGACGGATACGTACAGAGATGCGGATTATTGTAGAGCTGTGGTTACCTCTGGTGGATAGTTCGATTCATGATCATGACGTTTAAATACTCTGGTGTCTATAAAAATTGCACAAATGATATGTAATTCACCGTCCTTTTTTGCTTTCATCTACGGTATCCATATTACCAAATGGCAAATGGCATCAGATTCTTCTTGATAACTGCTTGTTGAATAAACCGTTTTCCAACTCAGTTAAGCACGTATTACAAAGGTCGAGGCGAGGACTTCGTTGTGAAACTGTGTCGTGGACTACTGTTGATCCGCACCAATGTGCAGTACAAATAAATTTCGTAGGACAATAACGTACTACAGGTAGTAATTTAATATTGTGGGTGCGGTTAGTGCCAAGTTGCCAACTGACGCGGCGCGGGTATGAGCGGTATTGAGGAGAATGCGATCGAGCCGGTTTGGCTTCACGAAGCACTTGCGGAAGCTGAATCAAACCAGGTCCACCCTGCTGAAAAGAGCGGGCGTGCCTGCTTGTGAAACAGTACTTTCTTATGCTTTTTTTTGTGTTTTCGTTTTCGTTTGCGCATGTTCTGCGCATTCACCGGTAAGCTGAATTGGACCGTTCGTGTTTTTTTTTGCAGCGTTAGAATAACCCTCTGGCTTCGATACTGCGCTTACGGTTAAAAGAAAAGAGTGAGAAAGAGAAGAGGAGAAAAATGGGAGAGAGAAAAAATGCCAATATTTAGCAAGGAAAAACTCTTATATGTAATTCTACAACATCGTAGAGTTGTACTTGTGGCTTATAGGAAATACTTGACACGATTATTCGTACTACTGTCAAACTTAAACGTAGAGGGGATGCGGACTTTTTATTCGCAAAAATTCTTGTCAGAACAGAGTCCTCGGAAAAAAATTGATTAGCGAATATGCTTTAATGTACAGTCGTTCAGCAAATCTGAAAATCATAAGTGTAACCAAGCATCTTTTGCAGTTACGTTTGGTATAATATGTGTCATTGCACATCATATAATATGTGCCACTGCACTACAAATATCATGTGCCATATGTATTTGCATTTGACTGACGATGTGTTCGCCTTCCGTTGCAGTACACTTAATTTCACAAATTCGAGATAAAGCAAAAGTAGGAAGCTGTTTCTGTTGCAACGTTTCATTATTGAAATTCAGCGTGCTAATGCTGCTTGTGTCTTGGGGACTGTTGAAAAGCAGCATGAAATGGATGGTTTATTTTTTAGTTTGTGCAAAATTTTTGTAGAGGAAAGGAAGAATAACAGCTACCGGTATTGTTGCCCTCAAGGTACGCGTAGAGTCTAAATTTTCTGTTTTCAGCCTGAGCGGTGGTGGATCCCGCGGCCGCGGAAGTAGATTTGATGGACGATGGGGCGACCGTGTCCACGCAGCCGCAGGTAACGTCCCATGCCAAACACATACCGCGTTTCCAGGCGAAGGTGGAAATCTGGTTTACCCGTGCCAGTGGATCCACATTGGCAATTTCGCATATTCCTTTACCTGTAACGCATAAGCCGCACTGCAATACAGTAGTATGCCGACAAAGATAGGTTCTCTCGAAATCTGGTTCAGTTCGGTCCTTAAAATACTGTAATTACCGAATTTGTGGCCCTGGAGTACAAATAGTTCGAAGGCTATGGCGGAGGGGGGATTATTTCGGGGAGGGGGCGCAATTTCGGGGGGTGGCATTATTTTTCGAACGGTATTTTTTGGGAGGGGGCATTATATTTCAAACAACTGCGCATCCAGTTCTAGTGAAATTGAGCGCAGTAGTTACCGGTATACGCAACAGCGTAACCTTACCATCAACATTTTCGAGCATATGCTTAGGACCCCATACACCTTTTTGCCAACGAATACCGCATTATGTTGATGTCCGTTTAATGTTTGCTCACAGTCACAACAATTCTTAAAAAAACATTTGCGGTACAACTAGCATTTTGCAGCGCTGGACATTTATTAACGGCCCCCTGGGGCGTAATTTCGGGGGGTGGCCTTATTTTTCAAACAGGGTCGAGGAGGGGCTCTTATTGCGGGGGGAGCCACAAATTCGATAATTACGGTAGGTGGGTCCGGATGGCGATGATTCACCCCGCTAGCACCCGATAGATGCGCGTTCAACTGACCTCTTTTGTCAGTCTTTACGTTGCTGACTGTCCCATTTTTCGCTGTACCTTTTGCACAGCACTTCAACTGTGCCGGTGAAAATGCAGCCTTCTTAATAAATGTGTAATAGTGTATGAAATTTATTCATGAAGTGGAGTTTGATTTTAATTTATAATCGTTGAGATTTTAAGAGAAACACGCAATACACGTTCTGCTCTGGCGGTGAATTTTGCTGGTTAAAATGTTGAAACATCCTTTCCGGCGAAAATGTTGATTAAGTCCGTGAGAACGAGAGGCGGGTGAACTATTCAAAAATAATGAAGCAGAAAGCCAGCAGATCGGACCACGCCCCTGACGAGGCATTAGACGGCATGTTTTCAATCAATTTTGAATAATTATAGTTTGCGGGTCTTTGGGGCACGTTTTCCTAACTGTTTAGAAACAAAGCAAACAAAAGTTATGATCGGACGACTAAATTTTTAATTTTTCTGTCGTTTTTTCAGAAACGTCGGAATTTTGTTGGATGGTCAAAAAATAAAACTTGAATAGCTTTGGCTGAATTTAATTCACTGTTAGGTTAATACCCCTCTTAAGAGCATTTATACGAGTATTATGGCAAGCAAAGAGCTGGAGGCCAGGGGGTTTTTGCCACTCAACTACGATAGTCGACTTTTGAAACTACACAATACGTGTTCGCCTTTGTGTTCTTCATACGTTCGACGATCGAATTTTCATGATCAAGTTAAAAATTAATACTTCTATGCTTACAAGAACTTGATATAGATGTCTTTAAGGAAGAAAGAATGAAATTCAAGTTTCGATAAACATAACCAACTGTTGGAGCAGATATTTTTTCTGCTTTTTAATAACGTAGTTGTGGACTAATTCCTGGTCGTTCATCATAAGTCATCCTGCATGGGCACATCGTTGAGTTTTTTTTATATGTACCGGGTGGCTGAGCAAAATGGCCGTCTGTTTTGTCATGGTGCGCTGGATCCGTCCAACACAGAATTGACGTAATCCTAGTTTCATTCGATAGAGCAATGCTTTTAACATAAACAAGTTAAGTTAAATCAAAATTTCCATAAGACTGAAATTTTTTATGTATTGTTTTGTAAAACTGGCTGGGTTTGGATGATGTCCTGGAAGCGAAAATCTGATGTTACCCGTTTCTAAATTAAAAATTAACGACATTAACAACTAACGACATTAATGTAGCTTGTTTTACTATTTCTGGTAGAGAGGTTGTTTTTCGTTTTTTTACTGTAAGAAACTGCAGTATTCTAGCAACCGTGCATGGCCAGTGCGCTGAAGAAGAGAGACTTTGCACGAGTGAATCTCGTGAAACCGGCAAATAAAGTTTTTGAGAGCAAATTTCTAACCAAAGTTATAAAAGCTTACCCGATCAATTTTGTGGTAAAGGTAAAGAACCGTACCAGTA